AAAAAGAGCGTATAGATTGTGATTCAACTTTCTTTTTTGTTTTGCTTTTAGTGGGCCATATATATTTAAAGAAGAAAGTTTGGCTCGCGATGATAATGGAATCCAAACAAAGAACTGAACTTCTCGTTAATGCTACTGCTCGAACACAACAGCTATTAAGTAAAGATGCACCATTTTCATTTGATACAGTATCTATTTATGGTAGACATGAATTTCGATATATATATGATAAACCAATGAAAAAAGGTGATTCATCTTGGTATATGGATCAAGTATTATGTTCAATGTTATTAACAGATTATCGTGAAAAAAATAAAAATTTAAAAATCAGCGAACGTGGTCGTCCGATGCGTCTTGATCGTGCTGCTGGTATTGGATATTGGAATCGTGATGCATTTAGCCAGTTTGGTGATGCTCATTTAATTCATGATACGATTTTACAAGAACATAATTGGAAAATCTTTAATAAATTACTCAAAGCTTTATTTAATGAAAGTCTTGTTAATATGTTCAATGATTATCATCGACAATATATGATTAAAGAGAAAAAAGTATAGAAAAATTTCATATGATCTTACATTATAGCTGTTTTTATTATGTGATACAACGAGTATTTTTTGATTGTTTTATGTTGAGTTTATTATTCACATTATTTTATTAAATAAAACATTCTTAAAATTTATTTCTTAATTAAAAATCCTTCAATAGGTAAAATTTAGATAAGTGAGGCTAGCCATCTATATAGAAATATAGACTTAATTTGATTATGTCAAACAAGAAGCACGCATACGATACCACTGATGTTAGTAATTATTTTTCAACCGATTTATTTATTTTCAAGAGTAACAGTAGTATGATGGCAACGCGTGAGATTTTTCTAATTCTGCCTTTTAATGTATGTTTTTATTTGATATAATATAAGCGGTTGTAGCCGTACGAAATTTATATCGTTTACTCAGGATATAGGCCAGTATTGATCAACAGATTATTTAATAATTCAGGCTCCGCAGAGGTCCTCCTTTCTTACTTTTTACCTTCTTTTTAAGGGGCGTCCTTCTTCATGCTTCTTTTTAACAAAATTCCTTCTTTTCCTTCTTTTTTTCTTTGTCATGCAAGATGACCGTATACATACTTCACAACACAGATACTACACTTCAGAGAAATAATATTCATATATCAGAAAAACCACACAATAAAAACAATCATAGTTCTAGAGCGTATATTTATTATTAGTTATTTATTTTCAAATTTTTATATCTACAAATCTATATACAAATCTACAAATTTACAAATCTATATAATTTACAAATCTACAAATTTACAAATCTATATAATTTACAAATCTACAAATTTACAAATCTATATAATTTACAAATCTACAAATTTACAAATCTATATACAAATCTACAAATCTATATACAAATCTGCAAATTTACAAATCTACAAATCTATATACAAATCTGCAAATTTACAAATCTACAAATCTATATACAAATTTACAAATTTATAAGCTCACGAATTTTATCTTCTGTTTGTACCATTTTTTCGTTCATTTTTTCAATTTTTTTCTGAGCTGATTCATTTGATCAGTATTATCGCCGAGTTGTGTTTTCAAAACATCCAACTTTTTCTTCGCGCCTCCGATAAGTAGTTGTGCCATTTCGACACCAGCAAAGCTTTTCGTTGCAACTGCAGCTTCGAGATGTGAGTTGCCTTCGGTGAGCATTTTAGATGCATTTTCTAGATCTTCCTGTAAGATCTTGCGTTGATCGATTAGATGTTGCTCTTTTTCGCCCAAAATTAGTTCTTTGTTTTTCGTTAATTTTGCAGCAGCTTCAATGGCTTCTTTTTCTTTGAGTATTCGTTGTTTTCTTTCTTGGTCAACTTGATATCGTGAGTGTGCTTCCTTGACATTCTCAAGAAGTCCTTTGCAAATTGGAACCTAAAAAAGTATATCAGTCACATTGATAATAATTAACTGTTACGTAATAGTCTCACTTACTTCGTGAACTTTTCCTTGTCCGTAAAATTTAACGGCGTCTTTCGTTGCTCGAAGTCCGTTGATGGAGATGTCACTTAGATATGATCGATCGTCGGTGATTAGTGCTGCATTTTCGCTAAAGCCACGTTCAACATCGGCATTACCATGTGAAAGTGATAGAAGACTCTTGATGAGTTTAGGTAATACGACAAATTTGGCAATCCCTGAACTGGTTTTTACTGCAAAAACATGTTTCCAATAATTATCGATTGGATGACACTTTATAACTTCATCAGAACCACCACTGGTGGTTTTTTGTTGATACCACTCTTCTGGAATGGTTTCATTTTCATATAAACGCCATTCGACATTCAAATAATCAAGATTGCCATCCGATAGTAGTTGAGGCAAGTCACGTGCGATAATCATTAGACTTTTACTGGAAGATTCATGATGCTGTTGAAGTGGATGCATGAATTGAAGGTTCTGTAAAAATTTGTTGGTCACTGGTAATGTACGTGTCAATTCTCGCTAGAACAGTGAAAGAAAGAAAATCATATAATTTGGCATCCTAAAGATCAATAGATTTTAGATCTTAAAAAAAACGAAGCAAATTTTATTTTATTGTAACTATAAGTACAGTACAAATGTTACAAAATACGTTCGGTTCAAAACTATCTATTCGCTGCATGAAGTTCTTCTTTGATACCATGTAGTTCTCTCTCATTGACTTTACCCTGTTGATGATCTCTCGTTCATAGATTCTAAGTAGCAGCCTCTTTTTTATAATTGACTCTATGTTATTCATCACTTAAAGTTTATTTGATGTATGTTTACCCTCAAATAATATGCTCAATAATAGCGATAGAAGGTGAAATAATTTATTTCTCCTTCTATGCGTAAATTTTACACCAAACGATCGTTCTAATTTGATCTCATTAAGTTAAGGATTGGTACTTACCGCAATAGTTTTGTAAATATCGCGAACGTCGTGCATAAATTTGATTTTTTCATTTGTTGGCATTTCTTGAAGTTCATTGCGTGTGATTTCACCAATTGCGAGTTTCGAATCTGGCTTTTCATTAGCTTGAGAATCGAAAGAAATTGAGAGCAGTTGTTTTACAGTTTTGTTTGTCAATAAATCATCTTTAATAAAACTTATCAGTATATTGCGAAATAGATTACTACACTCTTCGAATAGCAGATGAATCAATGGTTGCTTTTGTTGTAACCAGGTCAGTGGTTTTGAGAATATATGCCGATAAACGTAGAGAATAAAATGTAAACGAACGAGTGTTTTCTTTTGTTCGAGTTGAGTTTTGATTCGTTTCCACCTATCATTATTTATAATTTTTTTGTCAATCTTTGGTAAATACACGAGGAAATATTCGATGAGAATCAGCCATTGATCGATTATCCGTTTAATAACTGGACCTACTTCGATCCAACGAGTGATCACAAAGCGTTTCATAAATCGACCAACGCCTACGCCAATAGTTTCTACTACTTTCAAGTAATCTTCACGCCGAACTGATGATCGGGAGAAAAAAACACCAAAAGTCGTATAAAATATCTTCAATTTGCCAGTCGTTTTGAGTAAAACCTCGTTTGAAAGCAGTGTGAATAATATGAAGT